CAGACGAATGACTGGAATTTTGGTATCGTAGGCTCATTGCTCATTTCGTGCATTGCGTGCTGTCTCTCATTATAAACGACTTTAAATAAATTTTCTAATCCGTGTTTTACTTATACAATTATATTTACTTTACCACTTGTAGATTAATAGATGAAGGTACTCGCCATCTAGTGGCAAAAACTTAAAGTGACATTATCATATTCCAAAGTGGCTGAAAGTTGGTCTAAATTTTTTGAAAAAACTAAATTGTCATTTCAGTTCATTTAAAAGGTTCGTAATAATTTTGATATAATTATAATAAATTCATTTCAAAAACAATCTAGTGTATTTTAATCAATCATAGTGTATTTTAAAAAATTTTAAATGGTTTTGAGGTCATTATTCACGTTGAGTATTTCTACCAGAGATGTTAGGACAAATTTTGATTGCCCATATTGTTGATTCTATGTGCAAATGTATGTATCGTGCATATGCTTGACCAGCATTTCGAGGACGTATTGTATATGACATGCTTGTTTCTCACACGTGTCCTTGTAGGACAAAATGAACACGAAAGCGTGCATGCGCGAACACGTACGTATGCATAAATGTGAGATCGCGATTCGCACGGGGCAATAAAAGAGTTTGCTTCCGTTAGAAAGAGCCATAATCTCGTGCACATTGTTCGAAAAAGACATTGGCATTTCATTTTATCCGCGAAGCAGCCGCTTTCTTTGTTTTTTATTTACATCGTACATAGCGCATAATGTATATAGCGTTTCTATTAGGCTTACGCAATGAGAGAGATGGTAAGAGAGCAAGAGAATCGTTTTGCTGAAATTATATTTCCGAATAAGGCACAGGAGTCTTTGCCGGCAACATGAAAACGCGCAGTCGCTCGGAAGGGATGAAATTTGCTGCGTTTGTAATTGCTTTGAACCGACGATAGAGAGCAGCGAGCGAGCGGAAGAGAAAAAGAGAAGCCTCTCTCTCTCTCTCTCTTGCTCACCATACAACAAAAGGTAGAGGTGCAACGCGTGTATAACGTACACACTTCTCTCTATGTATGTTATACGCGTGTTGGCAAATTCGTCAGCGATTAAAAAGGACTTTATGCGCGTTATTCACGCTGCGATGCAATATATCCTATTATCGCACACACGCATGCCCCAATAGACACTTGCACGTCGTAAACATTATAGTTGGAAAATTATTAAGCATTAAAGTTTTACATGCGACAATGTCTGTACATCGCTTACGAAATTTTCGATCGGACTCTATCAAATCAGAATTTTTAATCGTTCTTATTTTACCGCTTATACTTGCTTTTGTATTGCACGCATGATATATTCCGATAGGTTGATCACCAAGGCTATATACATAAGCTTTAATCGAGTGCGAGGTTGACTCAATCATTTTTTTACACATATTCTTGCGCTAAATACATTTAACCCATTCGTCGCGATAAAAAAAGTTAGACTCGATGTTCTTGAGCGTAAGATCAAAAAAAGAAACGTACAAGTACTCAAGTGATAGCGGCGACGATAAAATTTACGGTGTTTCTTACAAGCGAGAGCAATTATACATCGTACAACGCGGCTCAAGAGTCATTCTGTGTTACAGTCGGGTCGAGTACATAACTTCCCCCACCACACTCGCTAAAAATGTCGCGCGCCGTTGCCCTTCCTGCTGCCGCGTGATTAGCCCCATCGAAGAAAAAGCAGACAGCTCGAGATATTTTCGGCGCAGCAGCCTGCACGACTCATGCAGTTCGCTGTATATATATAATGTATTTTCGGTCTTTCTTCTCGTCGGTTTTTATGCGGCAAAAAAATCTCAAGAGGTGTGCCGCCGTCGCTGCTGCTCTCTTCTTTTATTTTTTTCGCGACCCCCCGGAGAGAGGCCTTCTTCTCAAAGACAAAAGGGAGAGGTGACGTTAAGGACGTTAGGAATTTAATTTTGCACCGTCAATACTTCAGCGTCAGTGTCGCGCTGCGTGTAACTTTCAAAGCTCTCGTGATTTTTGCTAATTATAAAGTACGGGAAAAATAGCGCCTCGATTTCAAACGGTATAATTAAAATTATTTTAATGAATCAGATTTGCAAAATAATTTTATTCGTACAAGCGTGACTAATTTAGATTCGTTTCATATTTTAATGTACATAAAGTATACCGTACATCGCCTCAATGATAATTAGCCAGTTTGAATTCATATCTATTGATAATTACATGCTTACAAATTCTTTGATTATACTCGTAACTAGCTTCCTTTAAATTTAATCTTAACCGTAAAGACGCTCTAATCTCTGCAATTTCGTAACATGAAATTATTCGAAGAAAAAAATATATGCTACACTGCGTGAAATGCGAAAATCATCTCGAAAGATTGTAAAGTAGCCTTGAGGGTCGACGACGACGACAACATGCCGACAAGCCTCCTCGTCGGCTGCTTGTGTACGTGATGTAGTTTCACACGAAGGCCGCGAGAGAGATAGTAGAGAAAGAGCTCGTTGGCTAGATTAGAGAAATAAGCGTGGAAAGCTCGGGTGAAAGCCGTAAATACCAGAACAGAGGTTTTTCTCCTCCCTCGTTGCTTCCCATGTTGCTGCTGCTTTTCCTCTTTCTTCCTCTTCTTCTTTGGCTCATCTATAGGCGGTAGTAGTAGTCGTGCTACTACCACTACTATACACTATTATGAGCGGCAGCGATAGCAGAAAATGCACATACATATTGCATAAAGTTATATTCCCTTATAACTGCCTCTCTTGCTCGCTTTGTCAATATAATACGTTATATATAGCTGGGGCCGTGTCTGCGCGACACAGTGTATACATGCGTAGTCGGATTAAGTCGGGCAAGGACTAGCGGCTGAAGCTTCTTCTTCTTCTTCGCCGTCGTTGTCGTCGTGCTTTTTATCCTTCCCCCGTTATACACGTATATAGTACAGTACTCGCGCTGTGCACGGGGAGGAGTAGAGAGAGCCTCTGAAATTCAGCGAGTCTCTTTTGACGAGTCAAGCTGGCGTACACTACACGCGTATTATGTATAGCTATATGTATAAACACGGGACTGGGCCGGGACAACTGGACGACAACGACGCGCACACGCTTATATGAGATACTTTGGGAGCACAAAAGGAACATCATATTATAGTGAAGAGAGAGAGAGAGATGGAGTCGAGTAGAGAGCTGCTTTCCGCATGGCTGTTTTATGCCGCTTTTCTTCTTCTATGCCTTCTTCTTCTTCTGCTGCTTTCCTTTTGTAGTCGCGCAGCTACGCGCCTCCTCCTCCTCCTCTTCCTCCTCCTCCTCCTCCTTCCACTCCTTGCCATTATACACACACATACACACATACAGAATCTTTCTCGCGAAATGCATAATAATACGGCAGGTCGAGCAAATTCTCGGCTGTCGACTTGACTGAAAGATTAGGGTTAGGTTGTTTGGAAGGATTATTGTCGTCGTTGGCTTGCGCCGCTCAAAGGCGAGGAACGAAGGAAACACCCCATTTATTACCATGCGAATAACGACATTTAAGCTTTTTTTTTATTATTATAAATTTTATTGAAATATGAAAAGTAATTGCGGTGCTGACGAGGAGGAGCAGCAGCAGCAGTCAAAGGAGAAACCGGTGGCAGCAACCTCAACGGCGAAGTCGACAAAATGCAAAAGCAGCAGCAGCGGCAAGAAAGTAAACGAGAAGAAGCTGCCGAAAGCTTGCTCGAAGCGCTGCCTGTGCTGCATCAACCAGACGATTTGCCATATTCGCAGCATTGCCTCGGTTCGTACATAATATTCACGTAGTACAGCACGCAGCAGCAGCATTACAATGCTCGATCGTACATAATATATACGCGTACGCGAGTGTGAATAGGCGCGGGTACAGAATGAAAAGACCGACGACGCGATGATTCTGCTGCGCTCGTACGCAACTCATGCAACATATAATACGTACGCAATATTACGCAGGGGCTAAGAGACGGCTTGAACAACGCGTGCTGTCAGCCGGATTGGACGATGTGCTTGACCACGAGCGAGCAGCAATTGTTGTCGGCAGCTACTTCGGTCAAGTCGCCGAGCGTCGACAGCAGCTTCGGCTACGGCTCGGCCGCGGCCATCGTCATGGGGATGAGCGCCCACGAATTGATAGCGCGCGAGCGTGAAATCAAAGATATGGAGCGCAGACGCGGCTGTATCAGCAGCGACCGGACGCCGCTCTTTACCGAGGACGAGTTGAAGCAGGCCGAGGAACGAGTGAGTTTTTCGTTCGCAGCGGACGATAAAGACAATGCAGTATGACACACGAGCTTTAGATGATTATTTTTATTTAAAAAAGCGCTGTAAAAATAGATGCATCGTGACAGTGATATTATGTGAAGCACCCAGTAAGAACGTATTTCACGTATATAAAAGCAGTTCGTTTTATATAGCCTCGTTGGCTTCGCGAGAGCAGTAGTTTCCTCGGGCTAATGTGTATACTTTTGAGTCAAGAGGTCGTGAGTGAATGCGTGTGCGTACGTACGCACACGCACACATGCACTCTCGAAGTGAACATACCAGCGAATAGGTCGTATAACGATGTAAGTACAAGCGCACCAGTATGTGCAAGTCGCGCGTATTGAGAGGAAGAGAGAGAAGTAGCCGTGATCGGAATGGAAATTCATTGGAATACGAGCTGAGGATTCACGAGCTTTGCTTTGTTCTCTTCTCGCTGCTGCTGCTGCTGCTGCTGCAACCGTACTTAAACTCTGCCGCTCGCACGTTTAATGAGGCTCATACATTGGGAAATCGATCCTTTCGACTGCTGCCGATGCTGCTTCGAACGAGCATTTATACACATACGCTAGATTATATATTCGCTCAACTTCTTCGATATCCCTCTTTCGTAATCCCCGCGTACTAGTATTTAGCTGCACCCGTGATATCTGTTTTACACACTACTGCAACATTTTCACGATCTCTTACATAGAGACATACATACACACATTCACATCGATCGTACATTTTTAACGCGCAGAAAATTACACAGAGTTGTAATGTTTTTCATTCTCGCGATCGAGCCCCGCCACTCGGCGTATCCAGTCGTGATAATTCGCGACCTTGGTGAACACGTTGGGCGCCGTGTACTCGCAGCCCTGCGATATCACGCCGACGAGCTCGCCACGGTAGACGGCGGGCCCACCGGAGTCGCCGAAGCACAGGTCCAGGAGTTCGATGCTCGAGCACAGCATGTTGTCCGTCACGGTGTAATTCTGCCGGCACTTGGCGCTCGTTATTAACTCGGTGTGGCCGATTTTCAGGCGACCTCCACTTGGCTCCTCCTGCGATAACATGAATATTATCATTTCTTTTGTTGCGCTTTTCTTCGTTCGCTTCTGCTAATGAATTTTATAAAACTCACGTGAGCGTAGCCGTAACCCGATACAGTAATCACATCTTTGGCTTTGGGTGCTGTACTTGAAATAGGAATAGGCTGCTGATACTTGTTGAATTTAATCGGTTGTTTCACCTACGGAAATGTTGAAACAAAAATATAAGTAAAGTTTAAAGCTTCGATCTACTCTTAGTAACAAAAAATGCAACATACATGTCCATTTTTAATACTCACTTTTATCAATGCAATGTCACTATCGTAAATCGATTCGTCCGTGTAGGAACCGTGAATTATGATTTTGTCTATATCGAAAACCGTCCCGCCATCGGCGACGTCATTCGAGCCGGTTCGCACTTCGTACACTGCGTCACGGAATCTGAAACTTGGTCACGTTGTTTTGATGCTCAAATTATTTTAGATTCGTTTTATTTTTCTCAAGTATTACACATATATTATGCGTAATATGCGTAATAGCATGTTTTTTAAAGATAGCGATTTGCTTCTTTTTTTTTGTTATCAACCTGAAACAGTGTGCCGCTGAGACGAGCCAGTATTGGGAAATTATAGTTGCTCCGCAAAACGACATGTACGCTTGAAAGTATGCTCCAATTTGTGCCTGTTGAACGCATGAAAGTAAGAGAGAGGGAAAAAAGTTGGTATAACAAATTTCTCAAAGTTAAAGACAGAAGTACACACATAATGTAAACTCTTACCTGATAGGGTACCGTCTCGATGTCGGCGTACATGCCTCCATCCATGCCATCTGCAGCATGAGACAAAAATTCATGTTATACTACCGTCAGTGTGTGTTTATTTATAGCTCGCGCATAAAATTGATCGCAATTTCGAAACGATCGCACACTGTAAAAAACCAACGCCCGATGAATGCATCGCTACACCGCAAATAATGTTTATTGTATACACATACGACGCGTGGAAAAGAGAAAGAAAAGAAAAAAGTAACAAAAAAGAGACAAGTGCACACTCACGCGCATACTCGCTGATAAGAAGCAGCACCAGCAGCAGCAGCACAACAGCCAACCGTACTATCATTTCGAGAGCAGTCGCGATACAAGACTGATCTGCCTCTTAAAAAGCTGATTTTCCTCTCTGAATCTCCGCCTCATGTATCGTTGGCGCATACTATATGTTTCGTCGTATAAATCGAACTGCTGCTGTCGCGGGCCGGGAATGCCGAAAACAATTACGAAAGAACCGCTGATCATACGTCGGCCTGCGCACATGTATACTATGCGTATTATGCGCACGGTCGACGAATATTTCTTGAATTTCGCGCGCTTCGTCTCGAAGCTCGTCGCATTCGGTATACAGTTTATAATAATAACCGAAACGACAGAGTCGAACACGTCGCATTCATAATAACGCGCAAAATCTCGCCCGAAAAAGCCCAACCAACGTATACGCGCTCGATGACGGAATTTCCTCTCCTTCTCACGCAGCGGTGGTGGTATCAAAACTTCCTCCTCTGCAACTTTTTACTCTGGTGTACGAGCACACACGGTATATAGGCGGCAGAAAACGATAACAATGGCATGTTTAATCACGTAGTCGCGTGTACGCGCTCGCAGGCAATGCGCGCGTTGATTCAAATTTAACGCTCGAATCTCTGCAGTGTGGCTCTTTCCTCTCTCTCTCTCTCTTTTTTAACTCTGCTATCATAAAAAAAAGACAGTCAACAGTTTTTATCGAGCCATTTCATCGCGATCGCGCGCGTATGCGGGTGCCTGTCATTTTTTAGTCGCGGGAGAGTGTACCATATCGATACATGTAGAACAGAAGCTGTGCCGCACAGTATTGTGTCGCGGTGGTTGCAGCGTAGCGTAAAAAAATCAATTTTTATTCGATCGTTTTAACAAAAAAAAAAAAAGAAGAAGAGGAGAGCTTGCGGTCGTCCCCACATAGCTGCCTATAATTTTTGTTTTCATCGCCAAAGTGTTTACTTTTCATCGTTCGAGTGTAAAACTCTCTGTGCCGTACTCATCCTAATAATAATAGCAATAAAAAACAGTGCTCCATAAAAAAAAATCAAGCCACTTATCGGAGCGCATGTGTGTACTTTAAATTACATTGTATAATATATCCGACCAGGTGGCCGAGACCAAGAAGGCAGTTGAATTTTTGGAGGGTATGCTAAAGACCGACGCAAAAGTCAAGTCCGCGGATTGGGAGAAGGAAGCTTTAGCCGTCGCTAAAATTGCCGAACGCTCGGACGAACGCAGCCAGAAGCTCAAACAGCTTTTTGACGTTAGTTATTATTGCGTATTATATTTGCGAAAAAACTTTAATTGGTTATCGAACACGTCTTTTTTAAAACCGTGCTTTGACTTATACAACTATCTTTACTTAGCCACTTGCAGATTTATAGATAAAGGTACTCGCCATCTAGTGTTAGAGACCGGTAATAATTATCGTTGAATTTTCGGCAAATTAAAAAATATATAACTATCTATTGAAAGATTAATCAATAAAAATGGATAAATTTAATACAAAATACAGAAATATTTCGACAGAGTGCAGAGTACAGAATAAAATTCTTTTAGTTTATTTTTGCATTAGAAATAATATGTGATGATTAAACTCTGTTGAATTTTCTGTAAAATGTACGAAAAAATATCAGTACTTATACATTAATTTTCAACAAAATTTTCATGGAAAAGTATTTTGAATAAAATTGAGTATCGGTCATTTTAAGTTTAATGTCTAATTTTACCATACATCTATATTAAGTATAAGGATTTTTTAACAACGTACGTGATTGGTCTTTTTTTCTCTTTTTTACTTTTACTCCCCCATTACATATTTATGATATGAGTTGGCAATGTCATACACTCAACTCGATCGTACTATTTATCTACTTGCTTTTTATCGCTCCAGGCCAAACGATAATTCATGACTTAGCCATTGTGTACTTTTAGTTTAATAACACAAAAGTACTTCAACTCTATTTCTCTATCTCTCTCTCTCTTTTTTGCTTTTTCTCTTTCGATCCCTCTCTATCTTACATTCTGCAATGAAATTTTAATGTTCAAAGTTTTTTCCCTCTCCCGAGACCAGAGTCGTCGAGGAAAGAAAACGAAGAAAGATACGCGCGCCCACGCAGTTGAGAGAAAGAGATCAGTAAAAGATCAACTTAGAACTGAGTAGTCTCGAGTTTTACGATTGACGATTGAAAACTTCTTTAAAGTGATAAATGAAAAAGTCTTTGAGCTTTGTTATATAGTCGCGCTGTAACAGCAGCAGCGCCGTGGTACCCTGGTTCACGCAGGACTCGCTGCTTCTGGTCATTCTAACTTGCTCTTTCACTGTTTTTCTTCGCTTCCAAGTGCAGCGCGACAGTATATCATCTTCCTTTTTTGTTTCTATGGTGTTTTTCTTGCTCGCAGCTCCCACCGGTTGATCAAGCCTGCTAGAAATACGATAAAAAACGATTTTGAACGTAGCGTATAGCGCAGCAGGGGCAGATACTTCTCACACGCGCTTGTAGCGCACGCGCCAACTAATATCGATAGTAAAATATGTTGTCGTTTCGATGCGCGAACGTCTACAAACACATTTTAACGCGTTTAATCAAGAATGTCTTCTTGGGTAAAAGTTGAACGAGGAAGCAGCAGGCGAACTTTTGAGATTTAAAGCTTTCCTCCGGTGCAAAGTTAAACCGAAAACGTAATACACGTACAATAAAGCTTAAACTTCGTTCTCTTTCTCTCTCTATTTCAAGTACAGCTTTACACACCCTCGTGCGAATGTATATAGATAAAAGTACACGGGTCGGTGTGTGTGTGCATGTGTATACAACCGAGAACCGAAAAAGGGAGCAACAAAGTCAAGATCCGCGCTGCGCTAAAGAGAATTGGCGAGAGAGTTAATTTTCCTCCCAAATCGGATCGGTCCCTGCAGTGCTGCGCCGCGCGGCGAGCTTCATCCTGCGAAAGGCTTGCGCAGGAAGTTCGAGGTCTTTGCCGCTGCTTTGCTACTTCATCCGGGCCGCGCGCATACTTTGAACCTATGAGAAAACAAAGATTCACAAAGTCAGCTTTTCTTTTGCTTATTTTTCTCTTTCTCCCTTCCCGAAGCTCTTTTCCGCTTTAACCGGTCCGGCTGCTGATGCTGCTGCAGCTCATGTTTTTTCCAACCCATTCCCATTGACTCTGAAAGAGCTTGGCGATTTCTCTTTTTCTTTCGATCGTTCCTCAGTTAATTATTTCACAATAGTCCGCGTTGCTCTTAGGGTCCTCGAGGAACTAGTAGCGAAATTACCCTCGAAATAATATTCGTCGGACTAGCTAAAATAAGCAGTAGGTCCTCTTTACTCCGAGGCATATAATTAGCTGGGGGAAAATTTACACAATGCGGTAGACCAAGGCATAAACTGCGCAAGTAGCGACAAAGACCACGACGAACGAGTCAGCGGGAGAGAAACAGAGTGAGAGAGAGGTAGAGAGAGAGAGAGAGAGAATCGTCGGCAACACTGCACAGGCACACATAATATACAAAGCGAAGGCCGTTTTGTTTCCTTTGAAACTCAATGTGTTCTATATGTACGCACTCGTGTATAGGCATGTCCAGAGGTAGTGAGCAGCGGCGTTGAAAACAACGACTGCTGCGACCGTCAACTCGACAGGGTGGCTTTGAAGTCGGCGCTGCAAGCGCTCGGCCGATTGCTATCTGCTTGTTCCGCGAGCGGCGGTGTGGCCGCTTGTCGCGACGTTTCTGCCATGGTGAAATTCGACGACGACGACGATTGCGACGATGACGGCAGCGACGAGTGCGATGACGAGGTCGTCGCCGCTAATGTTAGTAGCTGTTGCAGTAAAATCCAGCAGCCGCGCAGCTGTCGCTTCGCCGACTAGAGCACAAGGAACGATCGGAGAACGAAGAAAGATAAAAAAAATCTTCGATGCTCCCTCGAGTTGCAGCGAGCTTGCAATTTCCGCCCGAACGTCTGTCAGACGCGACAATATCTTTATCTCTCTTGTATATTGTTTTTGTATTAAATCCTGATAAATCTGCAATACACGAAAAGGCCTTGTCGATTGTCATCTTTTACTGTCGTTGCGAAGATATTACGCGCGGCTCGTTGCTACAAAAGTAGCGTGCTGCATTTTTTTGTTTTCAAAACGCGATTGTATACTGCACGTGTGTTGTATTAAGTCTGCAACGAGTATGTGCGAAGCAGCTAGAAAAATCTAAGGGTGGTATAATTTTTCCTCTTTACTTTCTCTCTCCTCCGACTCTGGCGTATGTATAGCTAACAGGTTTCTCCGCCTGTCTCTCTTTCTCTCTCCTCAGCCGACCCAAAGCGCACACGAGAGAGAGAGAGAGAGAGAGAGAGAGAGTAAAAAGAAAAGAGAGCCAAGAGTGAAAAAAAAATGGTACGATATGCTGTTGGTGCTACTGCACTAGCTCATGGCTGGAAGCTATCCCTTCCCACTCTCGCTGCTGCACGCACTGCTGCTTCCTCGGACTTATACGAGCGCGCCCGCGAGTAGCGAGCGTGGAGGGGAGCTCTAAGAGCCGACGCCCTGAATTTTTAAGGGTCTCTCTCTCTCTCTCTCTCTTTCTCGCTCGCTACTCGCGAGTGCTTTTCCACGAAAGCTCCTATATATACGAGAGAGTGAAATTGAAAAGTAGAAAGTGCAGCGAGCACCCGAGACTGGCGCGCGTCCTGCCTGAATAAAAATCGACCTGCTGCTGCTGCTATATCGCCGCCGATGCCACACCACCATCACGGTTGATG